CAGGGGCAGTGCTCAGGCCCTGAGTTCAAGACCTAGTGCTGGCCCTAAAAAAATGCTAAGATAGGAGAATGGAATAGAATAGATACAACAAAATAATACAATAAAACAGACAAAGAGAATAGAATAGATATAATACATGGAAAAACCTATGTGAGACTCACTCCCTATTTAGATTGGGTTACAACTATTTAAGTCCTTTTCTAAATGGGGCCATGGATCTGCAGAAGGATTTGTCACCTCTAGGGGGAAGGGGGGTGGTACTGGGCTGTCCCCTGGGACCTTCTCACTCCCCATCTGAAGGTGGAAAGAAGGGGAGCCCCACAGCTCACTGGTGCTTTCCCTTGAATGGTCTGGAAAGTTTTACTTTCTGTTTCCTGGGTAGATGAGGACCGTCTTCACTCCCGCTGCAGCCAGCGCCCCTGTTGCTCGAGCCCATCCCTGAGCTCCAGTATAAAAGTTTGGCTTCTGCAGCACCAAAGCAGCTGGGCCAAGCAACCAGCGAATGATAATGACCTCAGAAATCTGCTGTTCACTCGGCAACAATAGGGTGCTCAGCCTACCGGAAAATTGTGTTCATCAGCTAACTACGCTCAGTTACTAATTGACAGTGCCAAATATTTTTTAAGAACAATTGCAATGCACAAGCAGGGGGGGGGGGAAATGAAGATCTTAATCCTCAGACTTAATTTTTTTTTTCTTTCTTTCTTTTTATGTTTCCTTCATCACCATCCCCCTCCTACCCACTCTCCAAACCCCCACCCCCACCCTCCATCTTTTGGGAAGCTTGGATTTGTTTGTGTGAAGTACACATTGGTTATCATGAATGGAGAGGGAATGAAAAGAAGAAGCCATAAGAGGAGAAACAAAAATAAAATAAAGAGGTAGAGAAGAAAGCAAATCTATCATATCACTATCTACCGGATATATATGCAAGAATTGCCTGATAAAGGCCTTTGACGGCCTCTGGTCAATAGGCAAACACAGGCAAGAGAGAACCACTATTGGAGGAATTCAACTTAGGCAACAATAGACTTCCTGCCAGGCTTTTTAGCCCAGCTGATCAAATACAGCTTGTCCATCTGAAAATATTACAGCAGAAATCGTAGGGGTTAACGATATTTTCATCTGCGCCTCTCTCCCTGGCTTTTTTTTTTTTTTGCATTGATCTTACAACTTGGCCGACTTTATTTAATGAACAGAGAGGGTCAATGCATTCAATTACCCGCTTCCCACCAGCAACACTTTAATTATCCCCACTCCAAAATGATGGGGGTGGGGGTGGGGTGAGCGAAGAGGAATTCGGAAGGTAACTGCCCTGTTGGATATAATAAATAGTATCGTTTCTTAGTACATTAAGTTTTAATTAATCGAAGCGTGATTTCTAAAGCCAAAAAAGAAAAAGACCTGGAAGAAACGGAACTTTAGTGGTTTTCTAACTCAAGAGTAAAGTCAGTGTCTGAGATTTTAGAGATTTTTTTTTAATTTTTTGGACACAAAGATGATATTCGGCTAGAGCTCTGCATGCAATCTAGACAGGAAGAGAGATTCAAACAGTCACCGACTCTCGAAATGTCATGAAAAGAGTAGAAAAATAAAAAAAAAAATAAAAAATTATCAACTGCTGTTTTCCAAACCATCCCCCCCCCTTGCTTTGGGTCATGGAGGCAGAGGTGACATCTTCTCTAACAGCTTGAGGCATACAAACAAACAACAACACACACTCACAACAAAACAAAGGGCAACCTGGAGTTTTGTCCCTCTGCTGTTGGAAAATAACGACCTCTTCATTTGTCAAAGGGCCTAGTTTTCGCCGCCGCCGTTCATCTTTAAGCTAAGTTCTCAGCAGTTTGGAGTGCCAGAGAACAAACACATTTTCTGGTTCACTGGGAGCATTTTTTGCATGTTCACTGATTCAAACATTCTTTTACTCCCATAACAAACAGCTGCATTTCACATTAGCCTAGCCAGTGACGGTCACCCATCTTGGCAATAAGTGTGATTGCAAACTTGACCCCTTCATCTCTCTCTCTCCTCTCTCTCTCTCTTTCTCTGTCTGAGCAAGACGGTTTTAAACAGTCGCGCTCACTCCGTTCTCAATCGTCTCTTGCAAAGAATTACATCAGATAACAAAGGACTTTTCTGCCACTCATTGTAAGCCTTCTTCTAGAGAGGCTCTGGTTTAAAAGGGCTTTTTTTTTCCTTTTTTTCTTTTTTTATGATGAATTCAGAATTACTATCATGTTAAGAGCAGCATTTTATAAAGAAGAATTCATTGGTTAAGATCTGGAAAAAAAAATAGTTTCTCAGGCCCTACTGACCCAGTTTCCAACAACAACAACAACCAAAGAAAAAAAGAAGAAGAAGAAAAAGAAAGAATTGAGTAATGCAAATTAAGTTTTGTGACATTGTTATGAAGTCTGAGAAATTTGTAAAACCTAAGTGCTTCTTTCTTTACTTAAAGGCTTAGAAATTCCTCCTCATCTCCTTCACCTAGAAGGCTTCTAACAAGTAATCAAAAAAAAATACCTATTGTGTCAAGATTTTTATTTAAATGCTTATTTTAATCACACTTTCTTCTACAAGTAAGGCTAGTTAGAGAATAAAAGAGGAAAAACACTACCCAGATTTTTACTTGAGAACTCTAAAGCTCCAGAAAACCTGAATGCCCTGCACAGATTTGAACTAGATATTGCTATATGATCTATTTCCCTCCTTAAGTCAGAAAATTATGAAAGGGCTTAATTTGAATATGAAAAAAATCCAAACAATACAAAGAAGTCAACCTGAAATGAAAGAAATCAGTATTCACAACCAATTCTCAACTCCTGCAGTAATGGAGAATGAGAGTAAGAAGAAAACAAGAAACTTAAGTACAATTCTCTTTTTGACTTCAGAGACACCAGTTTTGTGTGTGTGTGTGTTTGAAGCAAAATAGGGTCTTTTTTTTGCAAAAAGATATTTCAAGACAGGAAAGCAGTAGGGAGAGGAACCGAATTGTACAAGGCTATCAGTTGGCCAGAAGGTGAGAAAATCACGGTAAACACGTCATTAATGAAGCTGAACATTTGGTGTCAGAAAGATTCTACTCAGACCTCCTTCTTTTAGTAAGGTCTGGAAGAAGGGGGGGAAATCTGTTCGTGTTAACTCCATGTCACTCAAAAAAACTTAGGGCAGCCAGTCTCCTCTCTGCTTTCTGTCCCTGAAATGTCACCAATCTGAGAACAGATGAGATCTTCCTTCTCCCCCTCTCTCCCCCCCCCCTTCTGGGGGGGGGGAAGGAAGGGTGGGAAATAGTCCTGGATGATAGGCAGTAACTTTGCTACTCATTGCTCTTGCTGGGGAAATTTGACCCTGCCCTGTAGCTGAGTCTGGTCCTACATAGCCCCCGTTTCATGATTCTCCCGTTGCTGGTCATAGACTTTTTCTGTCTCCCCAGTAATAAATCGCAAGCAAGTCTAGGACTCCACAAGTAGACAAGTAAGTTTCATGGGTATTTAAGCAGTACCGCTAAGTGCTATTGTAATCTCTGCAATGTGGAGCTCAGATTTATGTCTTAACTATTCTTCACTGGTTTGTAATAAGCCATACCAACACACGCACACGCACACGTACATACACACACACACACAATTTTTAAAGGCTAATTTTTGTCCTAAGGAGGCTGAATCGTGACAGTTCACCAGCAAACCTAAGTGGCATTTATTTAATAATTGTGGCAATGTATTATCTCTCGGGCTGAACTATTCCTAGAAACTGAGAAAGCAGGAGGAGGAAAAATAAAAGGGAAAAAAAATGAAGACAAGAAGGGGAGGGGGAAAAAAAACTTTTAAAAAATGACCCTCAGTGTGCTGCCACAGTGGGCAATGTAGAGCCTCGAGGTGTCTCAAACTGTCTTTCATTTTCCAGACTTAATGGCTGATTGCAGAAATCGATGTTGCCATTAGTAACAGCGTATTTGTTACGGCGTGATTTCCTCTGTTGTTAGGCAGTAGAATGATTACAGTATTAGCGAAGTCCTTTCTTTAAAAAGGGCTAGAGATATAACTTTCAATTTGCTATCCATTTAGCAAACGGACTTGGGGGGTGGGGAACTCAGGAATGAAGGCAACCTTTTACCTGCTGTTAGGTAGTGATTTAAATTTTGTTGTCTTAGGTCTGTGTGTGTGTGTGTATGTGTGTGTATGTGTGTGTGCATGCGATTTTTTTTCCCCCTCTGTCTCTCTAAAACAGGGCCAGGAAGCTTCAGCATTTCACAGACATTTTGATGACAGATTTTTCTGTTTTTGCTATTTATTTTAGAACCCGCAAAGCTGCATTCTCCACCCCCCACCCCCGTGCAATGCAGTACAATTTGAAGACATGCAGCCAACACATCTGGACTTTAGACCTTTGGAGGAAAATGGCATGTGGGCTGTTCAGGGCAGAGGGACCTGACACATTGGAATTTCAGCACAGGAGAACAGGAGAGAGGGAATGGGATGGGGGTGGGGGGGGCAGGGGAGAGGGGAGCTGCAGGGTGGCCGGGAGACCAAAGAGAGAAGAGATTTGGTCTGCAGAGAAGGAATTCTCCAGTCAGTGGGAGAACTTGTGGGTCTCCAGGAATAAAGGGGAGGGCATGGCAGGGGTGTGAACTTCCAAAGTCCCTTCCAGTGGAGTGTTCCTGGGGTCCAGGGGACCCCCATGATCATGCATGAGATTATGGGGATTCAGCTATTAAAGGTGAAGAACAAAGTGGCCAACTTCACAAACACACACACACACACACAAACACACACACATATACACACACACTCAAGATCAGCTGACTTTCCTGGTAGCCAAAGGAGTTTCAAGGACAACTCTTTCTTTGAAATGGGGGGATAGCCTGGTAGCAAAGGGTGTACCCCAGCATTCAGCCATCCACCTTACAACCCAGCCTTCCAGCCAGGCCTGAGGCGGGGAGGAGGGATGGGGGGGGTCCAACCTGTCCCTCCCAGATCTTTGGAGCCGGCCCCACCTACCAGAAGATGAGGGCGAGGAGGGGTGCGGGCTGTCTTCCTGGGCACTGCCCGTCTGGGAGAGGCCTCCTCCGACCCCACTCTCCTCGGTGACGTTGGAGGAGCCGGGCGTGGTGGACCGACTGACCGACTGTGACTCCTGATCGCTCCCGGAGCCCCGACGTTCGTCCAGGCCCCCGTGCAGAGGGTCGTCTTCGCCCTTGCGGTCTCGCTTGTGGACTCGGGAGTGGACGACCACCTGGTGGTAAGTGCGGAACACTCGTCCGCAGTCCGGGCATTCCGTGGGCTTCTCCTTCATGTTCCCAGGCCCCTGGAGGTTGTTGTAATCGAGGGTCTGGTTCAGCCCGTGCGTCAGGAAGTCCCGGCTGCCGTCTAGAGGGTCGGGTTTGTTTGGTGGGTCTCTCTGATTGCCCGCTTTAGCGCCGTGGACCAAGTCAGCGGGCAGCTTCTGCTTGGAGCCATCGGCTCCTAGTAACACATACTCTCGCTTCTCCTTGTCGAACACCAGGCCGGCGCCGGCCAGGGCGTCCTCGTGGTGGTTCCTGGACAGCGGATGCTCCTTGGACAGGAAGCCGTGCTCAGCGGCCATGCCTCGGGCCATCAGCTGCCAGGCCTGGTAGCTGTGCACCGGGTCCATCTCGGCGGCTTTGGCGGCCGCCTGCAGCCTCTCGATGCAGCTGGATTTCAGGGGCGGCACGAGGTTCAGACAGCCCAGGAGGGAGTGTTTGTCCCCGTCGCCGGGGACCCCCGCGCCCGCGGCGTGCGCCACGCTGGACAGGGGGGACAGGAGCTTGCCCAGCACGTCCTTGTCCTTCAAGGCGTGCTCGGCCTTGGCGTAGAACTGGCCGGGCTCGCCGCCGCCGCCCAGGCTGGCCTTGTCTGGGCCCACGAAGCCACCGCCCTGCAGACAGGACATGTAGCGGGAGTACAGGGTGGCGTGCGTCTCCGCGGTCACCCCGGCGCCCAGGGGCCCCGGCGGCGCGTCGGGGTCTCCGGCCGCCTTGTTCTTGACGGAGAGCTTGTTGAGGTGGACCTTCATGTGGTTTTTGAGGAACCAGGGCTCCTTGAAGCGCCGGCCGCAGATCTGGCAGCAGTGCTCGAAGGAGTCCTTGTGCTTGCGCATGTGGCCCTTGAGGAACCAGGCCTGGCTGAACACCTGGCCGCACACCTCGCAGCGGAACTCGTGCGCCGCGGGCTCGCCCGCGCCGTGCGCGCCGGGGCCCTGCGCCGACTCGGCGGTGATGTGCGCCTTCTCCACGTGGCCGATGAGCTCCTCCTCCTGCGAGGCGGCGAAGTCGCACAGCGTGCACTTGTAGGGCTTGTGCAGGATGCGGATGTGCCGCTCCAGCTCCTCGCGCTTCTTGAACTTGCCCTTGCAGAAGGTGCAGCGGAAGCCGGCGGCCGGCGCCGCCGCGTCGTCCTGCAAGCCCGAGCCGGCGGCGGCGGAGGCGCAGGAGGGCTTGGGCGAGGGCGCCGCCGGGTGCGCAGCCACGTCTGGGGGCAGGCTGGGGTTGCCCGGCGGAGCCAGGCCGCAGGCGGCCGGGGCCGGGGGTGGAGCGTGTGGCTGGGGCTTCAGATCCGGGCGGGGCTGGGCCAGGCCGCCCTTGAGCTGCTTGTCCCGCAGGATGGCCCGCTCCTCCAGCTCGTGCAACAGGCGGTTCTCCTCCCGCACGCGCCCCCGGCCCTTGCCCAGGTTGCCCAGCTTGTGGGTCCGCAGGTGGATCTTGAGGTTCCCCTTCTGGGCGGCCCGGTGGTCGCAGTAGGGGCACTTGAAGGGCTTCTCGCCGGTGTGCGTGCGCATGTGCAGCGACAGGATGCTGTTGAAGCGGAAGCGCTTGCCGCACAGCGGGCAGGGGTACTTGCGGTTCTTGCGGGCGTCGTCTTCGATGTCGCTCATCTGGGACATGATGCCCAGGTTCTGCCCGTTGAGGAACTGCTGCAGGTCCACCCTCCCGTTGAGGCCGCTGTCCACCTCGCGGCCCAGCTGGTTGGCCAGCAGGGCCATCTGGTTACCCATAGGCTGCGCGCTCAGGGGCAGGTGGCCCTTCTCATCCAAGGGCCCCGCGGCGGCCTTCTCCTCCGGGGTGGGCCGCGGGTGCAGGTCGGAGAAGGCATGGCTGAGCTGCGAGGTGATGTGGTGCAGTTTTTGAGTCATGGCATACTGGCCGTTGAGGACTGGACTGTTCAGATGGGGTTCGGTGTCCGGCGCTGCCGGGGTGACGCCAAGGCACAGACTGGCTTCTTCCATCCCTACAAGTGAAGACAAGAAGAAAAAGGAAAAAAAAAAAGAAGACAAGAGTTTACTTTGATGGGTGCCAGGAACTGGGGGGGGGGGGAGGGAAGGAACTGGCATTTTAATTCCTTACTTATAGCATGATCATGGCTTAAAAAAAAAAAAACAAAAAGATGGGGCTGGGAATGGGGCTTGGTGGTAGAGTGCTCGCCAAGCATGCGTGAAGCCCCAGGGTTCGATTCCTCAGTACCACATACACAGAAAAGGCCAGGAGTAGCCCTGTGGCTCAAGTGGTAGAGTGTTCGCCTTGAGCAAAAGAAACTCTGGGACAGTGCTCAGGCTCTGAGTTCAAGCCCCAGGACTGGTCATAAATAAATAAAATAAAAATTAAAAATGATTGTCAAAAACAATCATAAAACAAACGAATAACTGGCTGGGTACCGGTGGCTCGGGCTTGGTGACTCAGAAGGCTGAGATCTGAGGATTGCAATTCGAAGCCAGACCAAGTGGGCAAATTTGTGAGAGTCTTAGCTCCAAATGACAGCAGAAAAAAAAAAAGCTGAAGTGGAGCTCTGGCTCAAGTGATAGAGCACCAGCCTTGAGCAGAAACAGCTCAGAGACAGTGCCCAGACCCTGAGACCAGCAGAAACATTTTTAAGAAAAGAATTATTAAATGTCAATTAGGCAATATGGCCTGCCTTTTCCCAGATTGCAGTTTTGCATTCACATTTAAATTGTTAATCTTTTCAACCACAATTAACAGCCAATAAACATTCACAGGTCACTTAATGAAGAACCAAAGGTCTCCATGTTAAAATTTTCCTACTTCTACCTTTCAGTACAACACCTACACCTGTTGGTTCCATCCAAAGTTTGTTTTAGGACCGAAGGTTTTCACTGCTAGACTACAGACATTCACCCAGATGAAACTTTTTACTTCTTGTCGCTATATTCAATGAACCACTCTGAGATGAAAGAGATTATTTTATGATCTGGTCAAAAAAAAAAAAAAGGAAGAAGGGAAGAAAGAAAGAAAGAAACCCAGTACCATGATATTTATGGGTCCATAATAAAACAAGATAATGTTTTGGGGGTAAAAAAATATATATTTAAAGGACAAGCTTTAGAACAATAAAAGGGATTTTGCTTTAGTCAACAAAAAGTGCAGTAATATCTCATTAAGCTGATTAGTATTCTGCTTAGAAACAGTGCTAGGTGCTGTAACACATGATTATAATCATAAAAATCCTTCAGTGTTTGCAGGGAAGCATTAACGAGGTATATTAAATTTTAAGGAGACTGTGAGAGAGGCGGCTTTGCAAACCTCAGAGATTAAGATTTAACCCTTATGTTACGAAACATTGTTACTTTGTCATTTGGTAACTGTGTCCATCAAAGAAGGATAAATTATCTCTGGGTGTAAATTTCCTGGATGGTTAGATGGTTGGAATCCAGGCGAAGACTTAAACTCTATAGAATGCCTTTGCCCCATCCACGGGCTGGATCTCCAAGGCAGAGACTTTGATTGGGCTTAAAGAGATCTTTTTGAGAACTAGATAAAAACCAATTAAAATCCAGAGCCGATGCCATAGCAAGATTCAACCAAGTTTGAGCGTTTTTAATAACTTTCTGAATAGACAGTAATGAGTACAAATTGTACCTGCAGTATGTGTTTTGTAGAAAATTAGAACTCAAAGCTGTTTGTTAAACACTAACACTGAATGCTAGGCTGCATAATTGTCTCTAATAGGCTCCTGTCCCCCTCCACAGCCAGGGCAGAAAAGCTAGCGCCAGCTGGTTCCAGGTGGGTCAAAGGGCATGATCTCTAACACACCATCGCCTGCAAGAACTCTGCTTTACAATGCAATAAACCCATGTCTGAAGTCCTGCTTATTTCTAGATCTATCTTTCCCCTGAAGGAGTCCGAGTTCACGGGTGTGTGTGTGTGTGTGTGTGTGTGTGTGTGTGTGTGTGTGTTGGTACTGGGGCATGAACTCAGGGCCTGGCTGCTGCCCCTTAAGTCTTTGTTGTTATTGTTGTTCAAGACTGGTGCTCTACAACTTGAGCCACACCTCCACTTCCTGTTTGGGGGTGGTTGATTGGAGAGAAGAGTCTTGGAGCATTTGTCTGCTCTGGCTGAGCTCTGGCTGACTTTGAACCTCCACGCTCAGATCTCAGCCTCCTGAGTAGCTAGGATGACAGGTGTGAGCCACTGATACCCAGCTTCCAAGCTCATTTTCTATATTCTCTCCTTTTTTTTTTTTTTCATTTTCTCACATCTCTTTTCTATGTGGCCCATCTCTTTCTATGTGTTGGCCACCCGGATGGTCCAGGGTCTGGGTTTTAAGTCCAGCCAGAAGAGTAGGGTCAAGTAATTTTCCCCTGGGGACATGTAGGGAGAGAGTTCAACTGTGGAGGAAATGCTGTCAGGCACAATGCGGCCTGGGGATGCCCTCGTCAGACAAGCAATGCGGGACAGGACATGGAAGGTCTCTAGGGGGTCACTTTGCATCTTTGGCAAGAGGAGAGGGGTTGCAGGTTCCTCGTGCAAAGGAAGGAGAAGAAAAGATACAGTACTTAGTTCCATGAGAGAGAGGGACCAGGACAGTGGTACAGGGTTAACTGTCTCCTCAAATCATGACACAGACAACTCAACCCCGGGTCATTTCCATATCCAGAAAGGTGAAGAGTCACTTGCAGTGAAAGAAGGCTTCCAATTTCCCATCCCTCTTTGTCTTTGATGACGGCCATCTACACCCAATTTTTATTTAACTTCTTTTTTTGTAAAGGATCATTTTGAGCCAGGTAGTGATAGCTCATGCGTGAGAACCCTATAGCTAGTCAGAAGGCTGAAATCTGGAAACCATGCTTCAAAATCAATGCTGGCAGGAAAGCTTGTGAGATTTTTAGGGCCAATGAACTTACCAAAAGCAGGAAGTGGAGCTGTGGCTCAATTAGCAGAGCCACTTGAGTGGGGAAAAAAAAACTAAAGAAGAGAGCCCAGGCCCTTGAGTTCAAGCCCTAGGACCAATGAAAGAAAAAGAGAAAGGAGGGAGGGAGAAAGAGAAGGAAGGAAAAAAGAGGGAAAGAAAGGAATGAGAGAAAGGATGGGGAAGGAAGGAAAGAAGGAAGGAAGGAAGGAAGGAAGAAAGAAAGAAAGAAAGAAAGAAAGAAAGAAAGAAAGAAAGAAAGAAAGGAAGGAAGAAAGAAAGAAAGAAAGGAAAGAAGGAAGGAAGGAAATTCTTATGGAGATTCTTGCAGTTTGACAAACCTTCCGAGTTTTCACTGGTTATCAGTTTCTGTCACACCAAATCCTAGATGGCAGACATGACTGGCTAGCCCCAGGACTCATGGCAGCCTCTCTCTGGTAGACAGATGTAACAAGGTCCACCACACAGAGGCTACGGGACAACCTAGGCATTCCCCCAGTGTTTCAGATGACTGAGCCCTTTCTCCACCTTCCAGACCCCAAACCTGTGCTGCCACCTCTCCTTAGCAAACTGTAGGTCAGGATCACAAGACAGGGCTTTGGGTTCTCTACCCCACAGCCCTGGGAAGTTTGGGAAGGTCTCATGGCTGTCCAGTTGGCCACACTCTGAGACTGAGCCCAGGGAGATGGGCTGTTTGCAGTTGAGAGGATTCTAAGTCAGCAGGAGAGGGGAAGGCTGACTGTGCTCTGTAGAGAGACTGCAAACCCCAGTGGGTGGATCTCACTAAGATAGACTCTGGACCCCTCCCACCATTACTCAAGATCTACACACACCGGCTCCACCAGTCAGCAATTGAACATGGGGATTTTTCAAGTTCACTCTGAGGATGGGACTCTTATTCCATCCAAAAGACAAATGCTTTTCCGTGTCAACAAAGCTTTCTACATCCCTTTAACCAACTGTTCTTCATATGCCATGGACAATACCCTAGCATGGGAGACAAGAGTGTTCAGGAATGTATTTCTACAACTCTCTCTTTCTCTTTTTTATTTAGTGGCAGTACTGGGATTTGAACTCAGGGCTTTGCCATGGTTAAGCAAGTGCTTTACCATGTGAGGTACATCCCTGACTCTGTAGGCTTGAGTAAACTTTTCAGAGAGGGTCTCATGCTTTTGCCCAGGATTGATCTCAGACCACAAGCCACTTGTGTCTGCCACTGGGATTACAGGTGTGCAGCATTCCACCTTGCTCAAAGGTTTCATCTGTTTTATAATTGAACCTGAGCTCGGGCCAGTGGGATACCTGAGTTGAATTTTGCCATACCCTTTCATCTGATTTTCTTAGCTCTCACCATGAGGGCACTGTGTCATTGTTCCTATTTATGGACACACTTCTGTGCCAAGAGGACAGAGGCCATGTCCGCTCAGGCAGCAATAATGCTTTGTGCTTGTAGCCGAACTGGCTTACCACATCCTGCGAGAATGGGAAGATGTCTGAATAGCTCCTAAAAACACAGCCCTTCCTTTATAAGAAGCTCAGCTCTCACCTCAACCTCATGGGGACTCAACCTAACCCTTTGCACGAACCACAAAGCATCTACAATTAGGCTTATCAAAACTGCAAGGAAGCTGGGTACCGGTAGCTCAGGCCTGTCATCCTAGCTACTCAGGAGGCTGAGATCTGAGGATCACAGTTCAAACCCAGCCTAATGCAGGAAAGACTGTAAGACTCTTATCTCCAGTGAACCATCAAAAAGCTGGAAGAGATTGTATGACTCAAGTAGTAAAGCCTTGAGTTAGAAAGCTAAGCAGCAGTCAGGTGCTAGTGGTTCATACCTGTAATCCTAGCTTCTCAGGAGGCTGAGATCTGAGGATGGCAGTTCAAAGCCAGGCTAGGCAGGAAAGTCCATGAGAGTCTTATTTCCAGTTAACTACTAGAAAGCCAGAAGTGGAGGTGTGGCTCAAAGTGGTAGAGTGCTAGCCTTGAGCAGAAAAGAGATCAGGGACAGTGCACAGGCCCTGAGTTCAAGTCCTATGACTACCACCACCAACAAAGCTAAGGGACAATGCCCAGGTCCCTGAGTTT